GGGCGCCCGGAGCCGCTGCCGGCACGGCGAGCGAGGGGACGGGCGGTAAGTGCCGCTGCCCTACCCCGCTCCCCTGCCCCGCTCCCTCCCTCCGTCCTTCGCTCCCTCTCCCGGCTCCGTGTCCCCTCTCCGGCAGCTCCCGGCTCGTCCCCACTGGGGGGGTTTGCTACCCTTCCCTGCCCCCTCTTCGCTCGCCAACTTTCCCGTCCTTCTCCCCTGTTTCCCATCTCCCTTCGGATTTTCGTGGGGTTTTTTCTGGGTTCTTTTTTTTTTTTCTTTTCCTGTTTTTTTTGCTGTTGTTTGTTTTGTTTTGGGGTTTTCTTGGGGGTATTTTGCATTTTCGGCTCTGCCGTTGCCCCTCTCGCCTCTCCCCAGCTCTCTCTCACTCGCTTCTGTCCTTTCGCTTCTTCCTTCGCTACTTCCCCGGCTTCCTCCGGCTTTTCCTCTCCTGGCATTCTGTTTTTCTCCATTGGGCATCGCGTGGAAAAGTAAGGGATATTTCTCGGTGTCCTTGAGGAAGGGAATTCAAAATCTACTTTTCTTACACAGGGAAATCCTTGTAGTAGTTTTCTTTCCCCTTCTCTTCCTGTCCCCGGAAAGAAAATTAAACCTATTTTTCTCCATTTCTTTTCCCTTTTGCTACGTGGACTGTTTATTTTGGTCCTTTTTTTTTTCTTCTCCCCCTTCTCCTGGTAGTGCAGGTTTGTTTCACGATTAATCTCTTTTATTCCTTCCCCAGCCCCTCCTCCCTTTTTCTTCCCTAGTAAGAAGAAAGATTAGAAGAAAATGTGTTTTGCCAGCAGGGAATGCATGAGACGTTTTGGTTAGGGTTTTTTTTTTTGCTTTTTTTTTCCCCCTCTCGTGGGGTACTATTGATGAGAAAAGCTTAAGCAAATGCAGTGCGGTAGGACAATACAGAGGCATGAACTTTAAAGGGTAAGGAAATGGATTCTGTTGCTTGTTTTCTCCAGCTCTGTAGTGTTGTTGGGGAGGTCTGCTCCAGGGTCCGGATTGGGGTTGTGTTAGTCCGGTGTGTGCCAGCCTGAGTTGTTTTTTTTGTCCAGCAGAATGATGATTTAAATGCAGTCCTAAACTGCATTTAAGTGTTGCTCGTGGGTTTCGTCAGTGTGGAAAATGAGGAGGCGGGGGAAGGTTAGAGATTTCGGTGACCCCTTTGGAATTACACCTGTCACACCTTCCATCCCCAAACTGCAGGTGTGTCGGAGATGGACACATTTAACAAAATCACTGGAAACTGCTCGCATCCGTGGCAAAAAGTGCTGTCGGGGGTTTAGGAAGTCTGGTTCGGACCTTGTGAGTTTCTGCTACAGCTCTAGTCGGCATCACACGTTGGAATGGAGTGTTCGCCGGGCTGTGGGGAGCGAGCGAATCAATTGATCTCTGCAAAGACACCTGGTTAAGGGCGTTCGGGCTCCCAGCTCATTGTGCTGGGGAGCGGTGCGATTGTGTGAAGTGCTGTGAAAGTCAAGGGCTCTGTCTTTTCTCAGTAGAGAATACGTAGCTTGTGAACGAACTGTCAACTCTTTTGGTGGGAGGTGGTTCTTCTTTCTGTTACATGGCCTCTTGTGATAGATACTGTTCCAAAAGATGAACGGCAAATAAAATCAGCCTTACTTTTTTTCCCCCGCTTTCTTTAAAGAAGAGAGAAAATTTAATTTCGGATTAACTTTTTGATTGATGATATCTCATTGGAAAGTAGGCTAGACATGAAATTGGAAGTACTTTTCTGTGTCGTAGAGCACAAAATTTTTTTGATACGGGATGAATTGCTGAGGGAACTGAAATGACTGCTTGGGATTCATCATATTTAGTTGTGTCCCCTTTAGGACAACTGAGAGATAAAGGTGGTTCACTTCTTACAGCTGAGTAATCTCTCCATCCTTTCCACCTTCGCGAGCCCAGCAGAATTTGATCTGTTGTTTAAATTAATCTTTCCTAGCGATGAAAAAGTTTGGGATAGTGGGAAATAGGAGGAGAAAAATACCAAGTCATATTTAGCAAGAAGTTTAAGTCTTTCAAAACTAACTTGAACTGTTACTGGAAACACCAGCAACAATTCTGAAGAGCCAAATTAAGGTGATTAATATAACTTCTTAAAATCTGTTTGAGGGAAGCTCTGAGAGGGAATGAAGGAGATTGAGTTGTTGAAAGTGCAGAGTTGAGCACTGAGGGTGCTGGGTTCTGTTCCTGCTTCTGCCATCGCAGGGCAGTGTGACCTCCTGCCTGAGCTGCCTTCCTGCCTGCACCTCCTGGGATACTGAGATTTCCCCGATTCCCTTAAGTGCTTTTTCACATGATTTATAAGAATAATTGCGTGTAAGTGTTCAGTTGTGGTTTTGATTGCTGATCAGTTAATAGTTTGGCTCATGCTAATACTCATTCTTGGAAAGTTGTAGGGATCTTGAGCATCACCGTTTATTTTGAGTGAGCCTGGATTTTTACATTGCTGCAAAGGTTTTGAGACTGGGGTTATTTTTATCCCCTGAATATCTCTGACAGTATCAGTGCATTCTTTTTCTATGGTCCCTTAAGTCTGCCTCAAGCTGAATATGAAGGACAGCATTGACCTCTCCAGAAAGAAATTGTTAAATTGAATTACAGGGTGGAAAACTGTCCTGTGGGGACTGGGCTGAGGACCCCCCTCAGCGTGATGCTTGCTGTTCCTGGTAATTTTATTTTGTGAGGTCTGTAATTATGAACTTAGCTTAGTCCACCAGTTTGCTTTCTAATTTTAGGATTTTTGCTTGGGTTTTTTAAGTCTTTTAAGACTTCTATCTTGACATTAAATGTGAATGTTTTATGGTTTTCTGGGGCTTTTTTGAATGTCTGGGTTGTCCTGTAATTCTTTTTATGGTGGGGTTGGGACTTTACAGTGTGATTAGATTTATTACAATCTCAGTGCCTGCCTTCCTGTAACTTTTGAGACTGGGATACTTAGTAAACGTGAGGCTCTAACCTGTTGATTGTCTCTCTTCAGTGAAAGGGAGACTCAGCTCTGCAGAAAGTTGTTATTAGGCAAGTATATGTGTGTTCGTGTGTACATGTGTACACATGCTGTCCTCCACATTAACTTGCTGTCCTCCTGCAGATGCACATAGCCAGCTCCAAGATTCTGAATCTGGACAGTGAATCTAGTTTCAAATTCAGTTTCATAAATGACTAATTCTTCCTACCCTTCCCATTCCCCTTCAAAGCTTGCGGTGATCTCATGCCTGTGACAGGAGCGGTTTTCCTGGCTGATAAGGGGGATGCTCATGTTGTTTTCTCCCTTGACTGTTCTGAGGGCTGTATGTTATCTCCCTCTGTGCTGATAAAGTGTGGGGAGGGGGTTGCCTGGTCTGTGTGTGCCGAGCGGTGCCATCCTGCTCCATCTCTCTCTGGTTTGTCACCTGTGGAGCTGAGATCACAGAACTTGTTCTGCTTGGGAAGGGAAGGTGGGTTTGAGCTGTAGGTACAGGGGTTTGTCACATCTGCCAGGGGAACCGCGCACCCCTCTGGGTTGTTCCTTCATTTGGATCTCTGCAAGCATCTGGTCATCTTTGTGATGACATAAACAGGGAGAGTGTTAATGTATCCGAGAGGGCTCCAGGACAGGCGCTGTGAGCTTTCAGATGGCAGGCGCTCGAGAAATCCGCTTAATTCACCTTTCTGCTTTTGAGTCACTCCTTAAGGAGGGAGGACTCTGTTTACTTTCTTGTTGTGCTTGGAAAACGGGCTCACCCACAACAAAAGACCCTGTAATGCTTGCTGTAGTGTAGGATTATTGCACAAAAGCATCTTACTGTGCAGCGCTGTGGCTGCACTCGGTGTTGTATGATAACACATGTTTCTCAGCTGTTGTTGATTCCTCAGTGGCACAGACTTCAAAGGAATGCGCTGAAAGAGAGCTGCAGCCAGGGAAAAACGGGGTTTGTTCCAGTGGCCTGTACCATCCATCTGTTTAAATACTTTGCTGAACTGTTCCAGAGTGTGCAGGCATCCAGTTAGGACTGGCAAGCAATTACAGCTGGGAGTAGAGCCTGCTGCAAAGAGACCACCTAGGGGAGGCTTAAGTGCTACCTCCCTCCTGTGGGTCAGAGCCCCTCTGCCCTCCCAGCCAGCCAGGGGAGATAAGGCTCTTCATTTGGGGTATCTTTCAACATGACATTGTCTAATTCCTAATGCTGTTGAGGATTTATTTATTTTTACTCTCCATGCTATCTTTAGCACAAGAAGAGAAGAATGGTAATGAGGACAGACCGTCATCTCTGTAGTCTCCTCTGTGTGGGTAGCAAGTTAGGTCTGTAAATTAAATGAATAAATATTTATTATTAGATAATTCTTTTTTTTTGCTGTTCCCAAAATGTGTGGTATAGTTCATAGACAGTGATCTGTTGATCACTTGTGTCTCCAAAGGTAGTGATATACATTACTGGATTAATTTTATCTCCAAAATATAAGCAGTAAAGTTACATCAATTACTTGCTCTTTCAAATTGAATTCAGGGACTTCACAACTTCATCCACAGTAACTGAGAAAACCCCAGTGAGCTTGTGCATTATAATACAGGACAATGCTGCCAATTCCAAGTGTTATGAGTTATGTTTTTACTTAAATTCCAGTATTGGAGTCTGCTGTGCAAGACACGTCTACACCCGTCGTTGCTGACTGAATCTTCACGTCATGGCCTGTGTGTTCTGTGTAGTCCCTGATAGTGCAACTCAGGGGAAATACTAGCAGAGAGGCTGCAAGTAGTCTGTGGATAACCTGTGAAGATCCCCGAAGTTTTTCTGTGTGGGACTGACATTAATTTTGAGGATTGGAATGAGCACTGCAGATAGAGCAATGTGTTTTTCAGCTAAGAGGGTTTAACCTTCTTTGTCAATGACAAATGCTCATGTAGATGCACTAAGAGGATATTTGAGCTTGGAAAAGTTGGGAGGTACTCCGGGATTTGTTTTTCACCTGCAAGCAAGCAGCACAGCTTTAAAGGTAAGCTTGGATGTTGTCCTCTGCTGTGGTATTGCTCCCTCCATAGTAGTGATGTGACATCTATGCCTTTGAAAAGAGAGCTCTTTCTCTCCATGTTGGCGGTTGTGATGGTTTCATGGTGTTTTGGGACGTCAGATTTTAATGCCTTACTACCCCTTTGAGCAGAAGGGGGAGGGAAACTTCTAGAAATGTGTAATGCAACTGACTTTCAGCTTCTGCCCTTGCTCCAGGCTTGACATTGTAGTTTGAATTTATTTACTTGCTTTGAAAGCTGTACTCGGTGTAACCTTGAGTTTTACTTCCCTTACTGCAACAGTACCTGACGTGTTTCCAGCCTGTACCTTGCTGTGCCTCTGCATTGTCCAGTTTTAAACTGGCCAGGCTGTCAGTGCTTTCTTTGGATTGTGTTCTCCCTATGAATCTTCAGAGCTGGAACTTCCTTTTGCTTCAAGTGAACTGGAAGTGTTTCGCTAAAATATTTTTGGACTCCTGAAGTGTTTGTCAATGCTTCCAAGCTGTTGTTTGAAGGGAGTTTGGAGTTTCCAGAAGAACCTTTGGAAACTCTAGGTTTTACTGTCTGTCAGCAGTTTTGTAAGCGTTGATAGAGGCTGTAATTCCACCGGGCAGCCAGATGTTTTGTGTCTGTGCTGAAGTGGGGAGACAGCATGGCTTTAAGGGTTGAAGGGTCTGCTGTTCTTGTTACAGGGCTGTTTGAAGATCTTCAACAGATCGGATCTGCTTTCTCTCCTCTCCCTTCTGCTCCCTCTTGCCATGCCTGTGCTGACGGTGATTACCTCTTTCTGAGTAAAATGGCATTATTGAGAGCAAAGCATAAACTTGCTTTCTAAAAGATAGATATTTGCTTGTCAGTCTGTGTTTCTTGAGTACTAAGCTTGAAGCTGTATAAAAGCTGCATGTATCTTGACAATTAGTGAATTTATAGCAAAATAATATAGCAGATTAATTCTAACATTAATTCTGACCAGTGTGGCATTAAGTGAAATTTAGAAAGAAATCAGTTTTCCTTGCAGACAGAGGAGAGAACACTCACTGATGCAAATCCCCCAGTTCCATATTAAATTGCACCTTTTTTAGGTGCTTAAACACTTGCAAAATCTGTGTCTGTCTTTGTCTTTTGCCTTCACTATGTGACATGTGAGGGAAAGTTAAAAAGAACTCATCAGTGGCTGCACATGTCAGAGTCTTCCTTGAGAAGAAAGTAGGAAGATGCCACAGCTGGTAATATTTGAAGTCAGTATTGGGAATCAAGAGAGCAAATGCTTAAATGTGCCATTGCAGCTATGTAGCTGGCAATACTAACTAGCAGTAGTACCTGGAATAATAATTCCATCTGGAGAGAAACATTTGGCAGTGGTTGAACATCCTTGTCCTTGCCCACCAGGAAGTGATTGTGGTGATTTTTTAGGTTTGGTTTTGTTTTATTTTTGTTTGTTTTTTGGTTTTTTTTTTTAGACAGCTTGCCCTGGGCTTCATCCATACCTCCAAGTCAATCCAAGCAATTGCTCTGGTTTCATTGGGAGCAAGGACAGAAACTTTGAATAAGCTGAGTTGGAGACTTTGTATTTTGAGCAGTGGAAGTGGCACAGAGGAGCACAGAACTAACAAAGAACAGTCACACTGAGTACAATGCAGAGTTTTCATGCAGTTAATGGGATTGGAATTGGTAACCTGATACTCCAAAGAGATAACAAAGGCTATTTAGCATACAAAGGAACATAGATTTTTATATTTTTTTAAAGAGTTGGTGGAGTGTAGCAGAATCTTTTGTCAGAACTCATTCTAGTGAACAAGTTCTGGCAGAAAGTGACTGAATTAACAAGAGTTCATGAAATACTCTGAATAGAAAAGGAATTTTCTTTTTTACTGTGAGCGTTCTTTCGCTGCAGTACTTGTATTTGCTTAGCAGTTTACCTGCTTCCCTCATGTCCTGTGAACTTAGCCTTTGTTTCAAACTGAAATATACCATAAATTAAAAGTCTTTGGCTTTTCTTCTTCCAAGAATGTAAGAGGGGAGCAAAACAAAATGAAATGTGCAAGGTTGTACCCTATGTTCCCTTATTTTCCAGGAACAGACCAGAAAGAGACCAGCTTGATACAGACCACAGCAGTGCTACTTGGGGTTAAGCTGTCCTGCGTGAGAGCACAGAGAGCTCTCTTTAGATGGTTTTTAGTGCAGTGAGGATGGACATCTGTGATCATCATCAGCTGTGAGAAAACCCAGTCAAACCTCATAACTCAAGAATTAAGATCATATCCTACTTTGGGCCTGCTGCTTGCCTCCCTTGTGGTTTTAGTGAATCAAAGGAACTTGCAGTCTGTGTGGGCAAGGCTGGAAGATAAGAGGCACATACCTTCAGGAGGCGGTGTGTGCTACAGGAGGAGAGCTGTGTGTGTTTGCTGTTGGCACGTTCTCTGTGCCATGGGTTGGTCATTTTTCTGAGGCAGAAATTAAGGGCAGAGGCTCACTTTTCTTAGGTGGGGTGTGAGAGAGCTGAACTTGTGCCAGCAGCCAGAAATTACAATTTAAAAAGTACTCTGGTGGTGGGTTTGATTTTACTTCAACTCTTAGCAAGACAAGGGGTTTGGGTCTATTAGGACTTCCTGGTATTTTGTTTGTAACTCATTGCAAAGCTCCTCATCAGCCTTGATCAGCAACCTGAGCTGGTGGAAGGTGTTCCTGCCCATGGCAGGGGCTTGAAATGAGATCGTTTTTAGGTCCCTTCCAACCCAGACCATTCTGTGATTCCATGGTTCTGTGTTGGATTTGCAGTGTGCCTTTTGAAACATGGGGCTCTTTCCCAGCCCCTGCTGTTCTCCTGCTGCCACGCTTTGTTCCTGTGCTCCCTGTGTGTGCCTGATGGCACTGCCACCCCTCTCTGCCCTGCCACCAGGCTTCCTAAACACTCCCTCACGACTTTGTGGCTTTCCAGGTGCCTCTCTAGTTGCAGCACAGCTTCTGCTTTTGGATGGGAGAGAAAGACAGCAGCACTTTCCCTTCCCATCTCCCAGCCACAGAGCATTCCTCCAATTCCTCTGCTGCTGAGCTATTTGGAGTGGAGCAGGGGGAACACTTGCTTTGCTGTTTCCTTGTCCAGGAGTTGGGTTTAACTTGCATGAAGCACCTGTCCTGTTGTGATCCTGACATCCTGTCAGTGCTCATTTCCCCTGTTCCTTGAGAGACGGCGTTTTTATTGCTGGCAGCTCTCTGCCTTAGCCTTCTAGGGAGGCCCAACCAGAAATTTTCTAGAATTCTTCCACTCTCTCCCTCCCCTTGTCCTTCAGTGACCTCTAACCACATTTTTATCTTTCTTGACAAGATGCTTAGTTTCATTTATCAGCTGCTTTTCCCTTCATTCTTCAGCTTTTGATTATTTTTCCAGGAGCTGCTTAGAAACATTAATGATTGCAGTTGTGCAGAACAGTTAAATACAGTCACATTCCTCAAGGTTTTGGTTTTTTTATTGTACTCTAATACTAAACTGCCTGTGGCAGGTAAATATTTTTTATGTACACTACTTGTCATGTATATCCATCTTCAGCAGAGGGTAAGGAACTGCAGTTGGCTGTGTTTTCATATTACAATATACCAATATTACTAGCTGCAAGACACCTATGTTTCCCTCCCTGAGCATAAACTAGTGTACTATGTTCTGACTTTTTTAAAAGCCATTTACATTTTCTAAATTTGTATTTGCACACTGTGAGATAAAAATTTGGCATAAATAGAAGGAAATTGCAAATACACTTTCCTGTCTTACCCTAGTGGCTTCCTACGTGCTTGGCAAATGCTCTGTCACATCTAGACAATATTATTTTGTTCTAAAAAACTTAAATATTACCTCAACTTTTATAAAAATATGTTTGCTTTAATTGTGGATAGCAGAGTAGAGGATGACTGGATTTATTTTAATATATGCTGCAAGGGTATTTATTTCCTATTTTGCAGTGCCCTTCATGCTTGTCATTGTAAGTGTATGAGCAAAAGCCTAAATAATTGGAAATCTATATGCTTCCTGAGCATGGTTTACTTTAATAGTCCACAATGATCTCTGGACAAACTGTATTTTATTTCAAAAGACCTCCATTATCCTCAGCTTGACCAGTATGAATGAGAATAGCATTCAATGTATACACCATTTTTAAGAATACCCTTCTTTTTCTTGCTGACATGGACATAAAGCATGTGGTAGGGTGAAGACAGTTCTGTAATAGAGTAGGAAATTAAACAAGAGGAAAGAAGAGGGTATGGCTTCAAGTTTATAGAGAGGAAGTTTAGATTGGATATTTGGAAGAAATTGTTCCCTGTGAGGGTGGTGAGGCACTGGAAGAGGCTGCCCAGAGAAGCTCTGGATGCCCATCCCTGGAAGTGTTCAAGGATTTAATGAAGAAAAGAATATTTAAATCTCTTGTGATGATGACATAATGTGTAGCTGTAGCGTTGAGCCTCTTCACTGCTGGGATTTCCAAATACAATGCAGATGGGAATCTCTGGTCTGATTTTAGTATTGGCAGGGGGAGTCATCTGAGTTGCTCCATTTAGACTTCAAACCTTAGTACAAAATTACATTGTGAACTTCCTTTGGACACTCGACCACTACTTATCAGCAGCTTTTTTTCCCAAAAAAATGAAAGGTGTGGCTACTAGATGAATAATTAGACCTTAGCAGTTGGTAGGTGCATGTCCCATTCTCAGTGGGCGATACCGTTGGCATTCCCAGGATAATGTCCCTGTAATGAAGTCCAGCTCAGGAAGAAGTTCTTGATTAACTTGTGTAGCAGCATGACAGCCTCTGTTGCACCCTGAAACGCCCCTCAGCCAGGCTGGAGTGACAAAGGCACAGATGTAGAGTGATGGTGGCCAAACAGTGCCACCTGCGAGCCACCCTGTGAGTCACCGAAGCCGTGTGTGCTGTGGCTGTCACATATCCGGGGGGAAGTGCCTTTGAGAGATAAGCTGATTTACCTGGCACCTCGAGTGGGATAACAGCAGGCACGTAGCTGGGGTACAGCTTCTCTGCTGGCAAGAAGCTCAAGCAAAGGCAAATGTGACCTGGGCTGTTCTTATGGAATACTGAACATTTTAAGTGTCAAGGAAAGGTTCATCTTTTTATGGGAAGAGCTGACTGGAAGAGTCAGGTTTGTTACGAGGTAATTGGAGGCAGCCATGAGTTGGTACTTGTATCTTGTGGATTGCAGGAGCTGGGAAGGGTGTCAAGTGTAAGCCAGCAGCTGGTACACAGATACTGTGTGGCAAATAAACCACTGGCTGTTCTTCCATCTTTTCTTGCAACTTCTACTTTAGATTTCCCGCAGGATAGTAACTCTAACGCCAGTGCTTCAGTGCTGTTTGAGCATACAGAGCTTTTTGGGAGGTTTTGTGTGTTCTTGTGTGGTCAAAGTAATCTTGCTGTATAACCACTGGTTTAATTTTGCTCTGTGTTGTGTTCTTCTTCTCCCTGTCTTCCTGACTCCTGCGATGTTTTAATACAGTCCTGTACTTGTTGAACTAGGAAAAGGGAAAGAACTATAGTGCTCCAGTATGGGTCCTTTTTACTACATCTGACATTCAAGTAAGACATTAAAGTCTAGGCAAATCTTGAGTTTGATTTGGTTCATTTTCACACTCCTTTTCCAAAACATGTATTTTTGTCATATGATTTCCTGCAGTGGATTTATTTCTGATGTTGAGAGTTAACACAGACCTTCAAAAGACATCACAAAGTAAAGAATCAGTATTAGTTTAGAAGCTTTTACTGATTTTTTTTTTTTTTTTTAAATTTTAATTATACTGTAGCAAATTGGTTGGAGTATCCTTTGGGAAATTCTTTACCGTCAGTTCTATTAAAAAGAATTCTGAGTTCTGTTTTGCTGTGCTGAGCTCATCTTCAGGGTGTCTAGCTGGTTACCTTGTAGTTCTTAGCACTCTTGAGGTGCAAATGGTGTCTGTTCTTCAATACACACTAAACCCTGTGGATGTGTTGAGATATGTGCTTTCTGTGCTTTGTTCAGGTGACCAGGCATGTCCTATTTTATTTATAAAAAATAAAATATTATTTGCTCTCCTAGTACCTATTTGCTCATTGTCACCAATTTCACAATGTGTGTGAACCAGAGGCAGAGCTGATGAATTGTGCCTGCATTTGCTTCTTAGGGAAATTTCAGAGGTTTTGTTTTTTTCCCATTAGCATTTGCCAGATGTGGGTTTTATTTGAAAACAAGAAAAAAAAAAAAAGCTTAAACTATGAATTTATGTAGGCCTGTAAAAATGTGTGCCTTTGTCAGCTTATGCTATTAAAAATATACTATATGTAGGAATTAATCTGTTGGTCTTCATGTAAGATGCTCTTACACTCATTTAATAAATGCTGAAGCTTATTTGAAGCACTGAAAATGTGTGTAGAGAGTGAGGTAAAGAGTGATTGGGTGCAAGTTAATTTGAGCTATCATCCCTGAACAAATATTGTGACACAAATCACTTAGGTAAGTTTGCTTTTATGTGTTTGTGTGTTTGGGTTTGTCTCTAGGAACTGATTTGTGTTGTGTCTTGGATAGAGGGGACAGCAGAGCAGTTGTGATGGCTCATATTAAAAATTAGTGTGCAAACTTACGTAGGTTATTTCTATGAAACTCCAGTTGATTTATTCCACCTTGTGCCAGGCTGGGATAAAACCAGTTGCTTTCTTTGAGTCACCTCTGGTTGTCCACAGAGCTGAGGCTCCAACTCTGCCTGCAATGATGTAGTAATTTGTGAGCACAACTTGCTTAAATATGTATTCAGCATCAATAATAGGGGATACTTTTTTGTGCTTCATTAAAAACTCTTGGAATGCATTGGAAACTGGAGTAATTCAGTGGCTCTGAACTTCATTAACTGTAGAAGTATTTAAAGAAAGCGATTTAAGATTTGTCACTGGCTTAGGGCTAGGGGGAGGTCTCTGAGGTATGTCATTATTAATGACCATACGTAAAGAAGGCTTTAATTTTCTAGGGAAGCATCTTCATCCTTTGAGTCAGTTTTCAGACCCAGCTGGTGAAAGCAACTTGGTCTGAATAGAACACTGGCCTTGCTTTGAGCAGGAGGCTGGGCTCCAGCAGCTCCTTCCAGCCTGAAGGGCTCTGGCTTTTGGTTTATTTTCTTTTTCTTTAAGAGGTGTTTGTACCACACAGCCACTGTCATCTGTAATGGGATTGCCTCGCTGATACTGCCAGCAGTTAAGCCAGAGGGGTAAATAAATCCTTGCTTGTAAGTTATTTTTAAAGAAACCTCTTTTTTGCTTATCTTTACAGTGTTTCTATTGGATAAATGCAGAACATGTAGGATTTTCTTCGCATCTTGTTTTCTAACTGCTGCATAATCTTTGTTTAAATAGGTT